TTTTTTTTTTTTTTTTTTTTTTTTTTTTTTTTTTTTTTTTTTTTTTTTTTTTTTTTTTTTTTTTTTTTTTTTTTTTTTTTTTTTTTTTTTTTTTTTCTTTTGAGAATGCAAGAGGTGTAATGTAAATGTTCTCCAATAAGAAGTTGTTTTTCTCTCTTTTATGATTTCATTGATAGTCTAAGATAACTCCTTGAAGTGGTATTCTGTTTGATAAGCATCATATCTTTTTAAGATTTAACCCATTTTGTATATTACAAATACACTCTTGAATTTTAATTAAAATACGAATCGCCCCTTATGATTTTAAAAATATTTATTTCACCCCTTGAGATTTTCTATTTTATAACAGATCACCTTTTTACTTAATCTCTCTCCCCCAGCTTTCCCCTGTCTTTTTTCTCCCCTCCCCTCTCTTTTTTTTCTCCCTGAGACCCCCCTTCTTCCCCCTCCCCTCTTGCTCACCTATATATATATATATATATAATTCTAGTCTTGAATTAAAATAATTTCGAATATATCTTTATAAAGATATTACTCACAGTGGACTGGCACATATATTATGCTTTGGGTGACCACCTACTCAAAACACACAATAAAGGCACATAATGAAACACTTGTCTTAATCAAATGTTCTTTCTTAATTCATTTCCCTTCAATGTATTTCTAACTCGTTCCCTCATTAATGATGTCTAACCAATGCCTAAGAATGCTAACAAGAGTATGAGGATGTAGATATGCACATGGGAGTATTTTTCAAAAATGCTGAAAACATGACAGTTCGCTCAAGCGTACCTTTGGTCGCTCAAACAGTGTGGCCTGTCTGCAATAGTACTGGATGATGTGGTTGCTCGTGCCAAGTGCAATGCAAAAGCTGGGTTCGCTCGAGCGCACACTTGGTTGCTCGAGCTAGATGTAAAGGTCTGTAAAAATATTAGAAGTATGTAAAGTACGCTGGAACGATGACTTTATCACTCGAGCGAAGTGGTCGAATTCTGGGTTTTCCAGAACTAAGTTTTGAGTTCCAAAACATGAGTTTCATACCCAAAAGCTTGCATGGTTAATAGATGTAACGCCCTCAAAATAATAACATTTAATCCATTAAATAAGACATGCATTGATATTCAAAAGTTCCACATTCATTCATTTCTCAGAGTTTCTTTACAAAAAGTATTACATGTTAACAACAAAAGCAAATGCCCTATGGGCTTACAGCTTTCCCAGTTAACACTTGGTTACATCAAAAGAGTACTAACTCATACACATTAAGCCCTTGGCTTGAATTTACATGTAATACATCAAAAAGTAAAACGACAACAGTATGTCCGCCTCTAGCCTCCCAAGCTATGTCCTTGGAGGTGGCATGCTACCTGTACCTGAAAATGATATTCCCATAAAGGGTGAGCCACAGCCCAGTAGAAATACACTAAACCAACCATGAACAATGACTAAAAGATTAGCAATTGATAGATGGCCAACACTGATACATTCACATAAACTACACATGTTTATGCCGTACGACTTATGAGTCCAAGTTACCATTCATTTTCCCTTTTTCAACAGATAAGTAATAAAAAACTATATCCCACATTCACAGGTAAGCATATAAGCCGTATCCACATTCTCAACAGATATGTATAACAACAATATCCACATTCACAGATAAGCATATAAGCTATATCCACACTTCACTAAGATAAGCATATAAGCTCTATCTTCACTTTTCTAGACAAGCATATGAGCTGTATCTACGGAGTTCATCCCCTATCTTCTCCCAACACTATCCGGTTTAGAGGTACATCCCCTATCTTCCCCTAAACCGCGGAGTACATCCCCCATCTCCTCCTCTACACATAACGTATACAAACACATTAGTTCTATATACATTCACACAATACATACAATTAATGTATTCTATCAACCGTCAAATTCCATGACACATTCCATTGATTAGTTCCCGTTTGCCTAATCATCATGCATTGTCTACAACAATCACGACCAACCCTCAACTTGAGGCCCCGCCTCAACTTCCGCTCAAACTCATAGCAACGGCGTTCCTTAGACGCCACCAGTTCAGGTGCAAACCTGGACAGACTAGTAAAAGTAGCCTCAAACTCGGCCACCGACAAGCCCTGCTGTTTAAGCCAGCTAAACTGATCCCTCAGCTTCTCTCTAGCCACTGCAGATAAAAACCTCTCCTGGAAAGCATTTACAAACGCCTCCCAA